TTCACTGAAGGCAACTTACTTTTCCTGTCCTTGGTAGTTAGCTGGGTTAGATGGGGCTAATGAGGTGAAGCCTTAGGTTAACCCTCTAGAAGTCAGTTAGATTTAATCTATTTTGTTAACAAAGAATCATGCCTCTAATCCTAGCCAGTCATCTCAAAAATGTGCTATGAGTCAGTTGGGCTTCCTGGTGTGGAGAGTAGGGTTGAGTCACCCCATCTATCACAAGCATCAGAAAAACCGAAAACCTCGCTCTCTGGCAGTGGGGGAGCAGTGGCAGCGTCTTTGCAAGCGAAGGTCAGGATGTCACATTGTACCAAGCACTTGCAGTCTTTTTGGAACAATCTTTTACATATAACTATAGAATATGTATATGTATATATACATGCAAACATGCACATCAAACCATGATATATAAGAGATAAAAAAAATCTACTTTGCCTTGAAGTCTTGCAATAATAGAATAGACAGGCTGAGATTACAGATTTCTCAATCCTGGTAATTTACTTTATAAGCATCTTTTTCTGTGATCAAAACAGAGCAGGGGAGCTGCAAAGAGAAGTCCCCTTGTTGTTCATTGCCCCCAGATTTTCACTGCAATGGCAGGTTGTACGCCCCAAAGGTGGCTGCAAAAATCTCTCTCAGCCTACGTTCCCTCTGCAGTATGACTTTGTCACTCCCACATCAAAAAGCAGCATGTCTGTCTTTGTACCCCATTTAATATATGGGTGGATGTGTATGATACTCGGTGAGTCATATTTATGTATATATATATACAAAATATGCTGTATATATATTTATATATGGCTTGCATGGTACCCTGGAAGAGTGTTTACCTATTTTACAAATCATTTAAATGTTAATTATAAATAATCACAATAATAATATTATGTCTGACTTAGAACAATATTTATTCAGTGATAATCATGGATGAAGGAAAATAATGCCCATAATTACTTGTGTATAAGTATGTATATCAGGTAGAAATAATGACATATATATGTTTTAGCTTTACCTATATTTAGGCAGTCGGTTTTTCTATATTATAAACTGTTAGTTCTACGTCTGACAAATTATTCTTAAAAGACGTAGGAGTTGATATAAACATCTAACAAAAACATGGTCTTATTATGTCAGTCTACATGAAAAATAACCACAAGTTTGACTCACGTACAATTTTAAATCTCATCCTGAGATGTCTTTTTTTTCCCAAAAAAAAAAAAAAAACCCTTTTTTCTTTTGAATAATTATAGACTCAGAGAAAGTTGTGAAAAAATGTTCAAGGAAGTCCTAGGTACCCTTTAGCCAGTTCCCCCAGTGATGATTCCTTGCATAACCATAGCACAGCGTGAAAACCAGGAGATTGACATTGGTACAACCCTCAGAGCTTATTCAGATTTCACTAGTATTGTGTGTGTTTGTCCGTGTGTAGTTCCATGCCGTTTTATCCTGTGTGTACACTAGTGTGATAACTATCACAATCAAGATGCAGAACTGTTCCATCACTATAAAGCTTCCTTGTACTATCTTTTTATAGCCACAATTACCCCTCTCAGCTCCCTAACACTAACTCCTTGAAACTGCTAGTGTATTCTCCATCTCCATGATTTTATTTCAAGAGTGTTATACAAATGGAATCATACAGTATGCAACCTTCACTCAGCACAATGCCCTTGAGATACATTCAAGTTGCATGTGTATCAATAATATATTCCTTTTGTTGCTACATAGTATTCTCTAGTATGGAAGTACCATTGTTTGTATAACCCTTCATCTGCCAAGGGCATTTGGATTGTTTCCAGTTTTGGACTCATAAATAAAGCTGCTATGAACCTTCCTATACAAGTTTTGTAGGAACACAGTTTTCATTTCTCTGAGATAAATGCCTAAAAGTGAAACTGCTGGGTTATATAGCAGTGCATGTTTAGTTTTACAGGAAAATCCCAAACTGTTTTCCAGAGTGGCTCTACCATTTTATATGCCCACCAGCAATGTCTGAATTTTCCTGTTTCTCTGCATCCATTTGGTGTTATTATTTTTTATTTTCGCTATTCTGTTAGGTGTGTAATATCTCATTGTGGTTTTAATTTGCATGTGCCTAATGACTGATGTTGAATACTTTTCATGTGCTTATTTGCCATCTATATATCCTCTTCAGTGCAATGCCCATTTTCCAGTTGGATTTTTTTTTCTGTTGAGTTTTGAGAGTTCTTTATATATTCTAGCTACCAGTCCTTTGTTGGATATGTTGCTTGAAAATATTTTCTCCAAGTCTGTATCTTGTATTTTGATCCTCTTAACAGAGGACTAACCCATAATTTGGATGAGGTCCCATTTATAAATTTTTCCTTTTATGGATCACACTTTTGTCATCAACTCTAAAAACTCTTAATGTAGCCCTTGGTCTCCCCAATTTTTTCCTAAAAATTTTATGGTTTCACATTTTACAGTTCAGGCTATGATCCATTTTGAGTTGATTTTCATATAAGGTATGAGATTTACATTGAGGAATTTTTGTTTGTTTTTGTCTTTGTTTTGCCTATCAATGTCCAATTTATCCAGCAGCCATTGTTGAAAAGGGTAAATTCCTGTGTTAAATTGCTTTGCATTCTTGTCAAAAGCCAGCTGGGCATATTTGTGTAGGTCTAGTTGGGGTTCTCTATTCTGTTCCATTGATCTTTGTGTCTATCCCTCTGCCAGCATCACACTGTTTTGATTACTGTAGATATACAATAAGCATTCACACTGGGAAGAGTGATTCCTCCCGTTCTGTTTCTAAATTTGTTTGATCTGTTCTAGATCCTTTGCTTTTCAATAATAATAATCTTGTCTATGTCTACAAAAGTTATGCTGGGATTTTGATAGGAATTTCATTAGATGTTGAGGTCACTTTGGAAAGAATTGACATTTTTACTATATTGAGTCTTCCAAATCATGAATATGATGTTTCTCCATTTATTTAAATCTTCTTTGATTTACTGCATCAGTATTTTGTAATTTTCAGCATGCAACTTTTGTACATATTTTGTTAGATTTATGCTTAAGTATTTTCTTTGGAGTGATTGTAAATGGTACTGAGTTTTTAATTTGCTTTCACGATATTGTTTTTAGTATATAGAAATGCAGTTGATCATTGTGTCATGCAATCTTGCTGAAATCACTAATTAGTTCCAGGACCTTCTTTGTAGGTTCCTTTTTTTTTTTTTTTAACAGATGATCATGTCATCTACAAATAGGGATAGTTCCATTTCTTCCCTTTCAATTTGTATGCCTTTAATTTCTTTTTCTTGCCATATTGTGCTGGCTAAAACTTCCAGTAATATATTGAATAAGAGTGGTGAGAGTGGACATCCTTGCCACACTCCTGATCTTAAGGGGAAAACACTCAGTTTTCCACCATTAAGTATGATGTTAACTGTAGGTTTTTGTAAACGCTCCTTATCAAATTGAGAAAACTCTTTTGATTCTTGTTTGCTAAGAGTTTTTACCATGAAAGAGTATTGGATATTCTCAAATGCTTTTCTGTGTCAACTGACGTAATCATACGGCTTTTTTCTTCTTTATCCTATTGATGTGATGGATGACATTAAGTGATTTTCAAATATTGAACCAGCCTTGCATGCTGGGAATTATTCCCAATTGGTTGCATTGTATAATATATGTTACTGGGTTCAACTTGTTATTATTTTGTTTAGGATCTTGACATCTAACTTCATAAGATACACTGGACTCTAGTTTTCTTTTGTTCTGTATGTGTCTGGTCTTGAGGTCAGGGTAATCCTGGCCTCATAAAATGACTTGGTCATGGTTTCTTCCTCTTCTATTTTCTAAGAGAGATTCTGTAAAATTGATGTTAATTCTTCTTTAAATGTTCTTAATTGTCTTTTTATTAGTAAATGATGCTCTGACTCTCTTATCTCATGGTTTGAGCAAAAGGAATCCATAACACTTTCACTTTAAAAATAGGGATAAAGGGGCCTGCCTGGTGGCATAGTGGTTGAGTTTGTGCACTCTGCTTTGGTGCCTGGGGTTTACGGGTTCATATCCTGGGCATGGACCTACACATGGCTCATCAAGCCATGCTGTGTCAGTGTCCCATATGCAAAATAGAGGAGGATCAGCACAGATATTAGCTCAGGGACAATCTTCTTCAAGAAAAAAGAAGAAGATTGGCAACAGATGCTAGTTCAGGGCCAATCTTCCTCACCAAAAGAATAAAAGTAAAATAAAAAAGAGGATAAAACCTTGCCTCTTTTATCTTACATGAGATTTTTCTGGGGCATGTAGGGATACAATCCAATTTCCTGTCTCCCCATTCTCAGATGTAGTTAGGTCAATGCCTGGATTTGGTAAGTCACTCAGCTGACCTTGGATAGCCCATCTCATGCACTCAAAATGCTAGATAAAGCTGTATCTACAGGTATAAATAAGTCAAGAAGTGCATTTAGGCAAACTTTGATTAACATTCTCTGCTGTCTACTCCTGCCACGTTGCTGGGTCAGCACTTACTGCTGCACATTGACAGTTAGCCTTAAAGCTCACCCACCACCAGTGAATAAAAAGCCACATGGTAACGTGGGAATGGGAAGGATGGGCTCAAAGGCTTGTATATTTTATATACCATACAAAAGCTCATCTATCTATCCATCCATCTGTCCACCCAGCCTTGTACATATTCTTAGACATTGTCAAGTTGAAGTTTTATGTTTTTCAAATAAGGACATGGAGGCTTCTTAACAGAATGACATATTGAAAAAACAGAATTTATTGTTGATAAGCCTGATTCTACTGGTTGATGTGAGAAATAGGGAGATTCAATTCCCTGCCTCTTTCCCAAAGAGAAATTGTGTTTTTATATATGGCTTTACAGTGTGTTGGGGGCTGCCAACAGAGGGGTCAAGACACCGAAGACTATTATTAGTAGTAATGTTAAAACTACTGGCTGTTGTTATGCCTGGGAAGCCAATTTTAGAGTAACTTTTTTTCCCATGTCTGTTTTGCAGAAGAGCCATGGATTACTACAGAAAACATGCAGCTGTCATCCTGGCCACATTGTCCGTGTTTCTGCATATTCTCCATTCCTTTCCTGATGGAGAGTTTACAACGCAGGGTGTGTGACCGAACTTGGATTTGCAGTAATAAGAAAAGCACATTTCTAGATGTACATCAATACTCCATTAATTACATTTCCACCTTCTTTTCAGATGTGTAATAAATCTTTGCTGCTGGGTACATATCTAGGCACTTGAAGATTGTGAACATAAAATTAAATTAGTTTCCAAAAATGTACAGTGAAAACGATATCTTACATGTCCATTTAAATAGCAGCTGGTACATTTTCATCTGAAATAGATTCCTGATTATTCTTTACCTAAGTTTTACCATCAGAAAATTCTCCTTATTCTGTTAAGCTCGTTATTTTTATTTTTATTTTTTTGACATTTTTCCCAGAAGGTTTGAGAGGATTTTAAAGTTGCCTTTGTAGATGAATTTTCACATCAGCTCACAAGTGAGAAAAACAAAACCACTTTACACAGTAAATTTGTTTTGTTATATTGTTTGAAAAATCTCATATAGTGGCTGATATAATTCCATCTGCTATGAAATTGTGAGCTACTATTGGTTATGGTTTTTCTCTAGACAAGTGGTAATATTTTCATCTCAGTTTGTAACTATGAATGCCTGATCTAACATCAGGTTCTCTACAGTCGACAAGCTTTCTTAATTCTAACATACTTTTCTCTGTCAATATTTGGAGTTTCTATGAGGAAAAAACAATAGCAGATTCGAAAGGGGAAAATATTTTGCTTCTGGGCAAAATTCTCCTTTCAGGTGAGCATGGAGCTTTCAGTTGTCAAGTTTTGTGTTCCCTGTCGACACACCATAGGCTCACTATTAGCACTGGGGTAGAGAGAGACACTGCTGCTATTGAGATTTCCCGTGCATATCTGCAAAAATTGTTTTCCCATGAAAATAACTGTAATCAGTACAAATAAATATTAGGTATGAAGATTACCATATAGCCAAAAGTATTTATTTATTTTATTTCCAATAGAAAAAGAATATTTAACATCCCATTAAAAGCAAAAATTCATAGTTTCCTTTTGAATCATTTTTGGATTATTTCAGTCTTTGCCTTTTTTGTGATAGATTGCCCAGAATGCAAGCTAAGGGAAAACAAGTACTTCTTCAAACTGGGCGTCCCGATTTACCAGTGTAAGGGCTGCTGCTTCTCCAGAGCGTACCCCACTCCAGCAAGGTCCAGGAAGACAATGTTGGTCCCAAAGAACATCACCTCAGAATCCACATGCTGTGTGGCCAAAGCATTTATCAGGGTAAGAACTTAAAGGGCCCCAGAAGCTTTCTAACAGTTTAACCAGAGGAATGTCCCAGAGCACACCTGTGGGGTTTAACGCCAGAGGTGTGTGATGACCTATCCTTTGTGGGCATTTGTGCAAGGAGGGGCTGCATTTGTCCCCTTTAATCAAAAGAGCCTGTAAGCGTGCCGGTACGGGCTGGATTTATTCAGAATGAAGAGAATAGGGGTAGAGGTGATGAGGGGCATGTTGGGAGAGAGTATATACCACACTTAGACAACGCAAATCTAACATTTTAGAGTGAAAATATCAACTGAAAGGGAGAATACGCAAATATAGCAAGCATTTATTTAGTTCAGGTGGCTATGGACAATTTTATTTTACTGTTTTCAATTTTGCTTATCTATCATCTATCTATCTATTGTCTATCTATCTATCATGTACTCACCTATCTACTATCTATCTACCTATTATCTATCTATCATTTATCTGTCATCTATCTATCTTTTATCTATCTACCATCTATGTATCTATTATCTATCTATTATCATCTATCTACCTATTATCTACCTACCGATCTATCATCTATTATTGATCTATTTATCATCTACCTACCTACCTATTATCTACCTACCTATCTATGATTATCTACCTATTATCTATCTATCCATCTATCATCTATCTACCTATTATCTATTATCTGTCTATTAGCAATCTATCTGTCTATCTAATTCCTCTCTCTCTTTTTGTTCCTTCCCCCTCAGGTCACAGTGATGGGAAACATCAAGTTGGAGAACCACACCCAGTGCTATTGCAGCACTTGCTATCACCACAAGATTTAAATGTTTCACCAAGTGCCTTGTGGATGACTGCTGATTTCCTGGAGTGGAAAATTAATTTGTTCAATGTGTATGGCCTTGTGAGATACCCCCCACCTTTCTCTTACCATTCCCCTTTGGCATGCTTCGAGGATATACTGCAGCTTTGTTGTCTTTCTCTTTATCTGACAGTCTGATCGGCAGTCTAGCTCTTTTGATTTGGAATGAAATACAGCATTTAGCATGATCACAAAAAGCTGGTTCCACAGGAAATAAAGTCTTTTAAATCATCAGTTTATCATTGAATTCTATTTTTTTCTTAAAAGTTTAAAGGCAGTTGTTTTTGATAGGGTTAATTGAAAGGAGTGAGCCCATGAGTAAGCGGGGGCCTCACGTACTCAGTGACCTGACACTGGAGAGTCTCATTCCCGTGGAGCCTTCCAGAACAAGTGTGGCTCCTCCAGGCAGGGGCCAGTTACCAGACAATCCCCTGGGGGGGAGGGAAGAAAACATAACCTCTATTTTGATTCCTTTTTGTATCACCTCTTTAAATGCCCCCTCCCATTTGTTTTGGTGAGGAAGATTGGCCCTGAGCTAACATCTGTGCCTATCTTCCTCTATTTTGTATGTGGGGTGCTGCCACAGCATGGCTTTATGAGCAGTGTGTAGGTCCACACCTGGGATCCAAACTGGTGAACTCCAGGCCGCCACAGTGGAGTATGTGAACCCAACTTCTATGCCACTGGGCTGGCCCCTAAATGCCCATTTTGATGAGTTTTATAAAAGTAGATACATTAGTATGGTAATACATGCATAAAGTTTATGAATAAATAAGTATGCATTTATTGGGAATGTTTGGTCAGAAACTTTTTACTGGTAGAAGTTTTCAATCAGAAAAAAAATTGGAGAACATTGCTTTGGGGTTTGGGAAAGACAAAATCCTTCCCAGCCTGAAGTTTCTATCTGCTTATCTATGCCTAGTCAAAAAAAAAGAAAAAGAAAGTAAAGTACATCTTATGAGTCTCTGGCAGCTGGGTTGTAACTGAATGATGGCTAAGGAAGGAATATCCTTGTCCTCAACTAAAATTGGACATTGCTTCGAAATTCCAGAGGCATCAGCTCTTACATTCCACATTCAGATCTGGATGGGAACGGATAAATGATGAGCAAAGTACTCAGTGAGCACTCACTGTGGGCTAGGTGGAGTAACAAGCACGTTCACTGAGTTCTATCCAAATGCTTAAGAGCAGTGATATGCTTCCAAGTCACATTTATTGAGTAGTTATACTTAAAAACAGAGTACTTACTTTGAGGACCATGGTTTTTACCCATTAAATTTTATTAGCTATGGTAGAGATCAAAGCCACCTAAAAGTTCTGCTCCTAAAGGAGCCTGAAGTTTAAAAAAATCTCACTGGTCACAGATATGGTTTTCCAAAAAAATTTCAGTCATCATCAATTCGTCAAGATTCCATTTCTGAGTGAAATGCCAATTCCCAACAGTTGGTAAACACACCAGGTGTCAGGGTGAAAACTTAAAGTGTTTTCAAGAAACACTGAAATACATATGAATGCATTACTTCACTCGTTCATTCGTTTATTTATTACACATTTATTGAATGTGTAGTAAGTGCTGGCACATTGTTAGATCATGGGGATTCAGAGACATGAGGATTCTTTAGGAGATATAATGCAGCTTAATTCAAGAGAACAATGGTGCTGACCACCGGGTCATTCAATATTGAACAGATGCTCCTTGGGAATCTACTATGTGTCAGGTCTTGAGGGCGTGTTTGGAGGATTCAGCAGGAGAGGAAAGCTACTGACTGCCCTCCATCTGGGACCAGTCTGTCTGACAGAGGGGATTTAAGGAGTAATGAGAGAGGAAGGGGACATCCCCGTGGTGACTCAGATCAGTCAAGTCAACCCTGGTGAGCACTAGGGTGAAATGTCTTGGCCATGTTGACCTTCCATCTGACCATGTGCCCGCCATGGTGCTGGTCCTAGGAAGGCCCAGATGAGTAAGACACAGACCCTGCCCTGAGGCAACCCACAGTCCAGTGGGGAAGAGACACATAAATGAAGAATTACAATCTAGCGAGATGCATGCTATGGGAGAGGTGTGGACTTTGGTGGCCTAACAGGAGGGCTGGTTAGCTCACTGTGGTGCAGTTCGTCACGGAGAGCGTCACAGGGCAGGTGATACTTGAGTTGGGTCTAGCAGATAAATAGATAGATGTGGGAAAGGTTTAGTGTAGTTTGAGGAAACGGCATAGATAGATGTCCTGAGATGGGAGCCTGATGATCACAGATTGCAAGAGGTTCAGTGTGCCTGGATCGCAGGGAGCTGGTTGGAGGGCCGAAGCTGCAGAGACAAATAGATACCTGTCAAGAAGGTCCTTGTATAACATGCAAAGAAATGTGCATTCTGTCTAGGACCCTAGCTTCTCAAACTAGAGGACCTGAGGTTTCCTGGAGCCCCAGGATAAACATTCACCTTTCTGCAGGATCAATTTTGTTTTAAGATTTGGAGAAATGCCATTTTAGTTTCAAAGCAAAAACTGATATATTATGGCACAGAATGCAAAATCGCAAAAATGAGATTAAAAATGGAGACTTAAAAAGAAACCTCGTGTTGTGAGTGGGGCCTTCTGGATCCTGTTCTTCTGGCCCCTCCCAAACCTCCCGGGAGCTCATTCACTCTTCTTGCATTAGGAGTACTTAAGTGAAGAAGTTTGAGAAGTTATATTAAAAGAATAACATACTCAGCTTTGCACTTTAGAAAAAGCATTCTGGCTTCAAGTACATGGTAATTGGAGAAGATGAGAGACTGGACACAGGATCATGAGTTGGGGCATTTGCTATTGTCTTGGCAAGAGATGGTGATGACCTACTGGCAGTGAGAGTGAGGGAAGGAGGAGGGGACAGATTTGGGAGGAATTAGGAGGAAATGAAGAGATGATTGTGGGTGTGACTCTTGGTGTTTTGGGTGGCTGGTGGATGACTGTGACAATAACTGGGAAATGGAAAAGCGGAGGGGGGAGGTGACGAATTCAGTTTGGGACCTGCTGAGTTGAGGTATCTAAGGAGTACCAGATGAGCATGTCTAGTGGACAGTGATAGAGAGCTTAGGAAAGGACTCCTGCCTGGAGGTAGGGGCTTGAGGGTCCTCACTGGTTGGTGGTACCAAAACCACAAGGATGGCGAGGATTGCTCAGGAGGGTGTGAGGAAGAGAAGATGCTGGACCACCAAGGATGGATTCTGGACTGGCCTGGTTGAGAAAGTGGATGTCATATCTTTTTGGACAGTCAATTAGAAAGCGCTGACATAGCCCTCTAGAGAAAAGATTAAAATCTCAGATACATAAGCAGTGAGGGGGAAGAGAGGCAGGAACAAAGGCTGGAAATTTTGATTCAAATCTATCATTTAGGTGAAAGATGTCTAAAAAAAGTACTAGGGGTAGAGTAAGCACATTTTTGCGGGGCGCTTCTTTCAAAAAATTCTCCATCATTCACCTCAGCCGAGAGCTGCCCCCAATTCTCCCATTTGAGATTCCTTCCTTATGACTAAAACACGGAATCCCAGGCCCATTCCTTTTAAATGACAACACATCTCACTGAGGCATCACAGTGGGTCATTAATGTCACCAGATAAGTTAAGCAGGCCACCAGGTCCATAGGCACTGTGGGTCCTAGATTCTGGTTACCAGGGAGAGAGGGGTGTCAGGCAGGCAATAAAGGGATGAAACAAAAAAGCAAGACGTCTACTTTGTAGTTGTGTCAAGAATTGACCAGGAGCAGAGACTGCTAAATGATTACAGGATGTCACTGATGACTAGGGCTCAAGGAGGATGTTGACAAAACAGGGATGGCTCCTGTGCATCAGTCTGTCTCCTGGGAGTGAGATGAAAGGGCAGGAAAAGATGAGAGGGAAGGAGAGATGGAGGGGGAAGAGAAAGGAAAATGAGGAGGGTATAAAAAGTTGGGGCAGGAAAATGTGTGACAGGGAAGAAAGATGCAAGAAGGGCTGCTCGACGAGTCTGTTGCCTCAGAAGCGGCTGAACTGGATTAAAGCAGAAAGGAAAAGCCATGACTCTACTCATTTCTACCTCTTCCCCGACCCCTGTTGAATCTGAGTAATCACCCATAAGGCAAAATCTCTGGCCCATATGGAGCCTTTGTGCAAACAGAGAAGGATGCCCTCTCAGGGCAGGCAGAGCACCTGGAGTAAACAGCTTCATAATTAAATGACACAGAAAAGTGGATGTCAGTCAGTCCTTAGCCCCTGACTCGGCACCTTTGTGCAGTACACACACTGTGCAATCCTACATGGCAGCCCTGCCCATAATATCATCATCCTACTATGACCATTGTTGCATTTTGGGGGAGATAATGTCTTAAATTGGTGAGAATCTTAGCTGACATCTAAGATTCCAAAGGATCATGTCTTAATTATCCTTATACTGCTGACAGGCTGCTGGAGAAAATATTGCCCCAAATAGTTTTGCTTTGTTTTTGCCATCTATGGGAAAACCAGAAGAGCCGCTCAGAATCTGGTCCAATCGGAAGGTAAAACCAAAGAATCCACGTGTAAATGGCTGTGAAGCTGATATGAATAAGTTGGTTAGGATCACAAACCTCAAGAGATCCAGACAGCTCTGCTGAATCGACAAAAAGATAATCAACGTCAAACCACCTGATGTTAGCATAGCACTTTTACTTTTCAGAGCTTTCTGTGCCTAATGTGTCAGTGAGTCCCACTCAACCCCCATGGCCTCCAAGTCAGGGTAGGCGGCACCATCTCCATTTGACAACTGGATAAATGGAGGCACAAAAAGCTTCGGTTGTACAGGCACTGAGAACGTGTGGAACCCTGCTCTCTCCACCTCCCGTTTTGTGCTGCTTCTTTCAAATTCCAATTTCTTCTCAAGGGATGAAGTTTTTGCCTTACCTGCAGAGGACCTATTTCTCCCAGGATACTGAATAGAAGCCCTCTCTTGGAGGTCTACCCAGGGTGAGAAGCCATCATATTCAAAGAAATGAAGTCTGAACTGTGAATTGTCCACTGATGTTTTGCCTAGAACCTGGGCTTCAGCTTCACTTTACAGCTCCTCTTGATTCACCCGACCCCTCCTTCAGACGCTTCCTTTTCGAGCTTAATTAGGAGAAACACAAAAAGATTTTTCTGTTCTGAAAGCCAAGTCGGATTTCTATATTGTCCTATTCAAAACTGTGTAGCATATGGAATTGTAAATATTAAACACTGTTTTCACAAAGAACTGAAGCCGCCTCTG